ATCTAGCCAGCGTGTAATAGTAGGTCAAAACCTCCTTTCTAAAGAGAGGCCTATGTCCAGCAGTGGACTATTATAGGCTATATATATATATATTATTATATTATACCCATTCTCCCACAGCTAAAAAACGAGCGCGCTCAGCAAGATTGTATGTACAGGCATGTATGGCGTCGGCCTTGCAAGACATTTCAGAATCAATCAGTGTGCTTATTAGAATTTTCCTGGTTAACTCTTTTGTGCCATGGACCGAAGACAGAAATGCTGGAAGGCTGACATCTACACTTTTGCGTACTCCAATACCACCCAGACGAACTGGTAAGGATGCTTGGAGCTAGGTTCGATCATTAAAAGGTATATTCACCACTTTACTGAGGGTGTTTTGAATAATTTTGTCAACTTTTTCTAAAAGTGATGGGTGTTTCCAAAGTGGGGATGACCGAAGTGCATGTATAAATTTAGGTACAAAAAGACAAAAACGTAGTATAGTAAAAGCCGAATGGACATTAATTTTAATTAAAAGATCCGAAAAATCACCAAAAATTTTAATTTTCTCCTCTATAAAAGATTGAAAACCATCGTCCAAGACTGGACATCCAAGAAGGCGAAGAGAATTTTTTTCTAAAAGTTTAATGTTGGGTGCTAATGAATTGCATTTTTGTACAGTCGCGAGTCTGTCTGTATTGTCACAAATAAAATTTTCGCATTTGTCAGAGTTGAGTTCTAAGCCAATGGATCTAAATTTATTTTTTATAAAAGATAAAACTTCTAAAACTAACACATAGGTAATTATTAAACCAAAATTATAATGTACTCATATTTTGCAATGTGTTTACATAATTTAGAAATGAATACCGTCAGTATATATACGACCCTCACTTTGCACTTTTTTGCCTAATAGATGGTACTAAATTGCTCCGTGATGTAAAGCAGACATTCCTAGAACACTCTTGAGTTTAAAAAGATTTACGTGATTCATATTACAAGGTCTCCGTTGCGGTTTTCCTGAAACTGGTATTGTATACACATTTTTTAAATTTTAAAGGTGGACGTTTGACCTGTGTTTTTTAATAGGGCAGTTACAATGTGTTTTAAAAAACAATAAAAAATCAATACTCTTATACGATCATTCCTTTGTCTATGCGGCTTTTAAAGTCATTTTGGCCACAGGAATACACATAAAAGTAGTTTTTGGTCTTTAATAATAATAATATGATAAATCTCGAAATTGTAAATATAAGTTTTTAAATTTACAGAACAACATTAACGTTAACATGTTGATTGCATAGATCCACGCCAGTTTAACTTGCATTTCGCCCTGTTTTAGAGAGTATTTAGGTTTACAAAAAACCCAATTGTTAGAAATCGTCCAAGGAAAATGAGATGAAGTGAACAGGATGGCTTGATATCTGTGACAGCTTACGTAAAGCTAATTACCAGAGCTTTAGTAAACAGTTTAGATATACAATTCACGTAGATCGCAACATTCACTTAAACTATCAGAGGTTGATAACCTCTATTTGATGACGATATCGTCTTTTTTTTAAACCACACCTTGTTTTGGTTAGAAACCTTTGAAACAAAACGCAATTCGCTTCATGGGAAGCCAGGACTGAGAAGGAAACCAAGTGTCATTCGCGTTGAGCAAATGCAAAGCCCTTACGGCCGTCACCCCACCCGGGTTTGCGGCGGGGTTGTGTGTCCGACTAAAACCACACGGTGTACCACTCAGCGCTTGAAATAGAAGGGATCCGGGAACTGCTGTTATGAAGACATGCCGACCACCCCAAACTTTTTCGCCGTAAGTCGACTGAGGGGATTATAAGAACTAGACATCGTAAAAACACTATTCTGGAAGATTGAATTTATCAGCGGTTTTTTGTAGATAGTGATCTTAATCTGGTGTATTTCACTTAGTTAATTTTATAAAGATTTATAAACCTATGTCTGTTATTTTACAATTTACAATGTTGGTATGCATGTTTCTTCAATTCAAGTCTATCAATTTTTTTAAAAACGTTGTTCGTCTTTAAAAATGTTTTTAAAATTCAAACTTATTTTGTACTATACATCTTCAATAAAATAATAATTATAAAGTTATAACCAATAACTAGTTACTGAGCGAAGTTATTATATATAACGAAATTATAGTATGCGTCATCAAAGGCCGATTAATTCAAGCCCCTTGCGGACGCCCAGTAAATACTCAACACGTGAACCTAAAAGTAGCTGAACATATGGCGGGGTCAATAACCTCAATAGTATTGACAGAAGTAGAAGTTGTGCAGGGGACAAATATCAAACCACATTTGATTAATAATGAACATTTTTGAAGCCAGAATTCTTCTTTAAATTCAATATCCGATATAAATTGATCTTCCTCGGCCCCCTGCCCCATTTATTACAACAAAGTTTTTGTGCATTAACCATGAGAGGTAGATGTCTCGTTATGGTGGTTTCTGGTAGAGAAGCGACGCACTTTGTTACTAAGGGCCATATTCACGCATAATCGGCCTTCAGCCGGTCGCAGTATTGCGTCATCGCAATGTGCTAACAGAATGTATAGAACGCCTTGTTTGTATTGAGGCAATGAGATCGCACAAAATAGTAATTAACCGCACTTTCGTGAGGGTTTGCAATTAAAAAATGTTTGAATATAATTATTATAGCTTTTAGTAAAAGCCCTAACATGCATGATGTGAATAAAGAGAATAATTTTGACTGAAACTATGTGTAGACATAGATGAGTGTGTAATAATATTATTGTAATAATATGTGTTGATCTCTTAAGGACAGAATAATAGCTAACGGCTGTTTATCGTGTATTTTAGTATTTATGGATTTGTTTGCTGTATCATGTTCTAATTATTAGGTAAGTCCATAATTTTGTTAGTAATGTATGGAGTACGATCTACTAAAAATAGTAAGGTTCAACACACAAAATACAAATTCTTGAAATGCAGAAACCTACGCTGGGCATTAGTGTCTTATTGACAGCGTCACAAATGCTAAATATCTCTCGTCGCTGTCATTTCGCATCTCAAGAATTCATATTATTTTGTTAAGGCCAACGTAATGTACATTTAGAAGGCGATTCAGTAGTAGCTTTTATATTCCCTATTTTCAATACTCAATACTTTATTGCTTCCACAATATAAATACATAGGTGATATCAATTTAAATACATATAGTAACAATTATGGACCCTGACGGGCGCAGCACAGTTTGTTTGGGAGAGAGGAATTAACATTTCATTTATTATTTATCATAATAGTTGTATAATTTATGAATTTTATTATTTTAGAATTCTATCTTCAAAATATTCTCTTATGCTGTAGTAGCTTTTACTTAGAAGAAAGAGTTTTAATTTTTTTGTGAAACTGTTATATTTATTTTCTTGTTTTGTGTATAAATTTTATATACAAGTTATATATTTTATGTACTGCTGGTAAATCGTGTAACACAATGTTCTCTTCTTCATTTGCACTCAGGTTCCTCATCTCTCATCAGAGCATAAACCTAATTTACAATTCTTCCGCCTCAACTTTAATTTACGAAAACAAAAGTAACTTTGGCTCAATATTTTCGTAACTTTGCATAAATGTTGTTGTACAAAGGTTAGGTAGGAAGATCAGATTCAGGCAAATATTTTGCTGTTAATTATCTATTATCTCCGTACTTTATAATCGAATGTTAGAAGCAGTGTTCATGACAATGGTTGAGTATTTATTATTAATACTTACGCAAGAAAACAAGCCCGCAACAACAGCTGCAGCTTTACTGACGGTAAATGTTTAGAGGTGTCTTCAGAAGTCTTTTGCCAGTTACCACCTAGCGCGTTGAGAATTTAAGGAAAAAGTTAATTAATTGTAATAATAAATCATAAATAAAATTAATATCATTTAGGATTAGGATTATTTCTCAGAGGTTTCAAGTGATATTAAAAATACAAAAGTAAGTTGGTTATTTTGTAACGCTTCCACGCCATATCTACTCAGCCGACTATCCTTAAATTGTATCTGTACAATGTATGTATTCTTATTGTCTTATGTACGTTCTTCGATAATTGTGTTTTGCATTGCAAGGGATAAAGCAATGGACATGGGGTATCTTTTACCTAGTTATTCTAGGACCGGTCTTGAGGGATGGTGAAGAATAGGTGATATAAAGGTGGTTAAATATTATAATAACTTTTCATAATTCCGATGAAGTCGAGATAAACATGGAAAGAAAGAAATCGTTGATAGAAAACGTAATTGTGATATAAAGAATTCAGATCATTTATCTTGACATTAACCATAGTGATATTAATTATTTCTTTTACAGCTTCCTCATTAGCAGTTAATACGTTGAAATCTATTCAGTGCCATAGTAATCATTGTAAGATACTGTTCTTAAACAGATAATACATTGGTATGTATTCGGTTATCCATTTGATCTCTAGTTAAATTTGTATAATAGTTACGTAAAGCTAAATCAATATTGATTTTTTTTTTAATTTGCAAATAAATGAATGGTTTATGAAGATATATATTTGCATGTTATTGAAAATTGTCAATGAGAGCCACGTTATTGATTCAAGACAATGCCTATTTATTTTATTCAAAGTAATACAACGAAAGCTGGGCTGTAACTGATCCCTTCGTCTAGTGGTAGGGCCCGGACATTCGTCTTAAAAGCTTGTCATTATAGGCGCATTATCTAACTGGGTACTGCATAAAGGCGACCTACAATTTGTCCTTAAACTTTTAAAACTTTACCAGCGCTAATGAGTTAAATTCTAAGCGCCGAACTGGAACAAAGGGTTTGCAAAACTACCTTCTAATATTTTTAGATAAAGCTTCATTCGTCAGTTGCGAAACCGGGTATAATTTAAAACCTTAATAAAGCTCAGTACCCACACTCAAAATTGTTGGAGAGGCTTTCAATTTGGTTCATAATTGGCACCGTTCGGATAGGCAGATGATGTTTAAGTGCTTTTAATGTTTGGCGCTCGTAATATTATGTTGGGGATATCTGGCCGGTCCCGGCGGAGGCGCGCTCGCCGGATTAGGCCGCCGGTGGGGTTGCACAGCTCCCGGCTCACCTTGGAGAGTAATTATAATGATCGGCGCCGGAACCCTAGTCTGGGACGGGAGTCTTCCTGGAGAGGCGTGCCGGGCGAGCGGGTGGCGCAGCCGAGGTACGCCTACGCGACGCGTCCCGTCCCCCGCGCCTCTCCGCCGCACCCGTGCTCGTGCCATACCTCCCCGCCGACGGCCCCTCACCCCCACGCACCGTAATAACCCAATTTGTAAGAACCCCCCATTTTCAAGGACGGCCGTCGGTCTTTATGGCGGCGGCGACGGCGGCGTTGATTCCCGACCTTGTTTATTTCAGTTTCTTTTTGTTTAGGAACTGGCTGAACTTATTTTCGTACGTCTGTACCGGGCCGGGTCTCACTTGTTATTGTAGTGTCCGGTAGTGATTTTATATGTCCAGAGCATAGAGAATACGCCATCTTTTTGTACCTGTACACGATAGTTCTAAACCAATTATGTAGGTCCTTTGAAAAGGCGCTGAGACATAGTAATTTCTATTCCTTTAGCCATGACACGATAAGTAATTGGTTGTATTTTGTTTGAGTGTCGATCAGTAGCCCGTGAATTTGTTCGTTACGCTGAATAAATACATAATTTTTGGGGATGGGGTTTAATGGGAACGCTTCTGAAATTGACCTACTTTGAACGATATCTAAATGGCTTGAACGTCCGTTCAGCCATTTTTGGCAGCGTTCAATTTGACTCCAGCTTTATACTTGATGTAAAAAACGCGTTATATGCAGACGTGTATAAGGCGGGGGTTGCCTCATTTGTTAAAGCCGTTCAAAAGTTCAAGGTCGTCCAAGGCACCCTTATCAAAACCCGTCCTTTTGGTCCGTCTAGACGGCTTCACACCTTCAACCCTTTAGGGGACCTGTTCAATTAGAAATTGTGTTTAGATTTTTTCTCGGATCCTGAACCGTACAAATTATTTATCTCTCAATAAAAGAGTCATTGACTCTTCAAAGTTCCTAGAATGTACTCGTGTTTGATATTTTTTTGCAAACAGTTCATTAAAATAATGTTTTATTAAAAGGCGGTAATTTGTTTGAACTAAACATGGACGTTAATTAAAATGCCCTTCTTCTATTTGATTGGAGTTTATGAGTTCCCATTAATTTCGTAAATATAATATGATGTTACCTTATTTTTTAAATTAAAATATTCAATTATCTTCACAATATTATAGCTAAACATATTTATATTTTATGTATATTCTATACCTTAACTATACTTGTAGAGGTTTTGGGATAGCAATATTTCAGATAGAAATCTTGTAGAGGGACTTCCTAGTCAAATGTCTCTCTCTCTCTCTCTACAGAACACAGCAGTCAAAAAACATATTGCACACATTTGATGTTTCATGAATCCTTACATCAGCATGTTAACCGCCAGTCAGCGATGACCCCCTAGGCAGCTATTTTGGTTCTTGATCTCTTTGTGAAATTGCTACTACTAACATTTTGTTAACGTGGCATATGTATCGAATCCTCGGGTAGGTATCACTTTCATTTAGGGACTTCTGTTTGTCGAAAAAATTAAATAATGGTGTAAACACTTTTAAAACTTTCAAGACAAAAAAATCGACTAAAATATTCTAAGTTTTTTTTTAAAGCTAGGCTTCAGCACAATTTACACGCATAGTAAGAGCGCAGGGCAAGGTATCATATATAGGTATGCATTTATTCACAAGTGGGCAATCTCTGTATTTTTAGACCTATAATATGATTCCTTTATTATGGGGCAGATATTATCAGTACCACGCTTTGTGATTATATCGTGTACGATTTTTGTACGTTAATTTCGTTCGGTTATTTTTTGACCTAAGTAATAAAAGCCGTAAAACGGTAGATTTATAAGCCCTGAGGATCAAATTATGATAATTTTAGGTTATATATATATATATATGGAAAGGAAATGCTAAATTAGACTAGGGTTAATCATTATTTGTAAGGATTACTTTCCGCAATTACTTTCAAAACTACGGTAATAAGGCAGAGTACTTGTAAAAGATACAAGTATTCTTGAACCCAATACCACAGTATAACCAATATTCCTTTTATTGCGACTTCCACATGCGGCGAAACAAAGAAATGTACAACAGCGCCATCTAACAAAGACACACCGAACTACGGATAACTGCTAATCCTGTATCGCGATATGAAGAATTCTCATGAAGATTAGCATATGTATAACCCTAACCCAACATCAACTGTTGGGCCGCGGCCCGCCAGGCATGATCACCTCGCCTTTACGCAGGATCCTCCTTTTGTGTTGAAGGGACCCCGTGCCTCCATACTTTCAAATCGCTATCTTCTCTTTTCTATTTTTTTTATCCTTACCTTTTCTTTCAACGTTTCAACATTCTTACTTCCAATTCTCCCACCTAATTTTTAAAGGTGTCCGGTTGACAGTAATAGTCATGCTCTCTATTGTGTAAGATGGAGTAAAATTATACACGGGAAAATGGCTGTATACCTTTTCGAGGGAATCGACGTGATCATCATGATTCGTCTATAAAATAATGTATAACTCTTCAAGAGTTGCATTCCATTACATTGGCTAACACCTCTACTCATGTCCCTTTTAGCAAGGTCTCGCACGTTGCCTGGATTCTACTACCTACTTACAATTAAGGGTGGTAGTGGATATATCGCCTAAAGCAAAAGGAGTTTTCGTGAATAGCGTTACGATTCATAATCTACTGTGTGTAAGCATATTAAACCTTACACTATGTAAATTAATAATAATATTCTCTCACATATCACACATTGCTAATTAGGCTCAAACTAAGCCGTGATTTTACTATGGATTCAGAAAACGGTTTTCAACACATACATTTTATACATAGAAAAACCAGCACAATCGAACCCCGGGCGGGTCATTCCGCATATGGCAATGGTATCACTTGTAGGTTGCATAACCTCCCTTGTTACTGTGATGCTCTGACATATCCAACCATTGGACTCTGAAGAATACTTTAGGCTGCAAAAGTTAAATGAAACGAATGTTTTAATACTAAAGTTCAAAAAGCTTCCAAGAATAATTTCATTTTCAATCCGTGAGATTCAACATGGTTAGGTACTTCGACACATATATAGGATACAATAGATATGCGTCGCATTATTAGTGCCACAATAAAACGTGAAAATGTCAAACACTTATCAAGTATTTTGATTGTTTTTGGGATGCTGGCGAAGTGTTCCAGATCTTGTAAAGACATTATGTGAAGTTTATGGTTGAAAAGTTAACAGTAGTACGTATAAACCTCATGCATAATAACATTCCCATCATATCAATTTTTGGAGGCCATTGGTCTGGATTATTTCTAGAATACTCAAGCAGTACAAGTTTTACACTTTAAAACTGCTCCCGTTTTTCACCAGACGGCCTTTTCAGTGCTACGTAGTTTCAACTTCATGGTTTCGAATGTTTAGCTTTGGACAGTACCTGGCACTCTGGTGGACTGGTAAGTCAAGCTCTGATTAGAGCTGTGTGGTTTCTCTGAATGTACTGGCTTACACAATTTTTGTCAGTTTCGAGGTTTATCTAGGGCTGTTGCCATTGTTAGGATTTAGTTTTATTTTTAGAATAAATAAACGACAGAAGAAATTAAACGAGACATCGGAATAAAAATCTGAATAAAAAAACAAGAAGCAAATCTCGTTAAAGCATAAACAATGCCTAGTGCTTATTAATATGAAGTTAAGTCAATATTAGAGTATTTGGATATTTCGAAAGTCTTTATTAATTTAAACGGACCTTCGTATAAATTTCCTTTTACCTATTAATTTTAGTTGACTGTAGACAATATTTGACTGACTTGTCCTCCTTATGCCCACTTAATAGATATTCGGACAAAACATGTTCGTGTGGAGAGTAGTGTAGTGGAGAGTGACCTCTACTTGTCCCTTGAATATCATATCCCACTCCTCTACAGTGATAGTCTCAAAAAGATTAGTCGGCTCATGATACTTTTTGAGTGGCGGTATAATGTTACCAAAAGACACAGGTTTTTGAGGAATTAGTAAATTCTAGTAACTAACTTTTAACTGCGCAAGATGGCGGACAGGAGCTGGATGCGAGAAGCCCAAAATCGATCTAAGTTGCATGCAATTGGAGAGGCCTATGTGCAGCAGTGGACTGCGATAGGCTGATGATGATGATGAACTTTTAACTTGAAACAATGTCCCTTTTTTACGCTCCATGCTTCGATGTATTGTTTGCTACGTTACGCTAAAAATGACTGTATAACCCTTTTTATTGATAGTCGTCACCTCTATAACAATATATATGACGATTTATATTATGTGCAAATAGAAATGATTATTACATAAGCATTACATGATAGGAGTTTTGTTCAGCATTTAACATAATGAAGTGTAAACGAATACCGTGTAAAAAGTACAGTACTGGTTTTGACTTCTATGTCGTAGAAAAAATTGTTAATCTTCATGATTAGAAATTTTAAAATGCTGAGTATGGAAACCATTCTAGTAGACGGTAACAGACTCCCTGTTGGATTCACACGGACTCTAAACTATAGTTGGTTAAAATCGTGTGAAATGTATGTCTCTATCCTTTCGATTAAGATAACACACGAGTTTATATATTGCTTTTTGTGATTTTCATATTCTGTGACTGTGTCCGTGAGCAATTTACTGTTATCTTGGCAATCTAAATAACTACATCACTTTAAACAAAGTTATAGTAAATTGCAAATATATTTAAATAACGACGTTTTGTTCTCATTCTCGATTCTAATGACACAATAATACTCTATATGACACAGGTATGTGTGCCTGTCTCAGGCAAACAAAGAGAAAATTGCTGTTGCAAACAAATTCGGTTCTGTTCGACTTCTTTGGGTGACTAAACCTTTCATTTCCTTTACTTTACTTTCATTGTACATACATGTACCGGGTGATGCTCTTTTATTCTATGTATAGACTAGCCTTTGCCCGCGACTTCATCTGTCGTAGAGGCTTCGGTCGTAGAGGATACAATGCATCAAGAATATAGTATATAAAACTGATCTGACTGATCGCACACCGTTCGTTGCTAAAGATGCATCGTAAGGTTATTACGACAATATTTCTTTATAAACATCATTTTTAACCATGTGTGTCTGTGAGTTCACACGAGAACATGGAACGTAAAACCGCCTATGTGAAAAACAGCCCTGCCGCAAGTCGATTCCT